TCCTGTCCCTTGACTGCGGTCATGATATGCCAAGGTAATGCATCATTTCCTCGCACGTGAATGATACCCCGTGTCCGCGCTAGGGTTGCGAGTTCTCTATACATGCGAAGGATATCCCTTAGCAGATGATCTGTTGGTCGTCGTGAATTTGTATATATGAGATTCACACTCATTACCGCTAGTCCATCCGTATCACTGGTCCCTGACCGCCGGAAGAGGTATCCACTCGCAAGAGCGGGCTGGTATTTCGTGAGGGAATATGAGTTATTGAGTCTGTGAGAGAGAGTAACACCCCATGTTTCGTCTGACTTGTCAATGAGAATTGTATCTTGGTCGGAGTCAAGAGATGCTTGGGACATTTGCTGTGTTGGCTGTTGTTGCTGCTGATGGCTGTGGGTATAGTCGGTGAACATGGGGGTATTTACAGTGGTGTGAGTCGCTGGAGGAGTACCCGCAGCGCCTGATGGATCAGGCGATGGATCAGGTCGAGGGGTAGATCCCGGAGTGGTCGTTGCCGGAACTATTTGTGTTGGCTGTTGGCTTAACGCGCTAAGCTGGAGTGGAGGAGTCGGCAGTTTGAGTGACAAGCCAGGTTTTATATTGACACAAAGGATACCTAGTTCGACTTTAACGGATTTATCACGGTTATACTGATCCAGCAGAGATTTCCACACTAGAGAATGCTAAGTTAGAGGGCAGCACGTAGCGAATTGGTGGAAAGTGGATTCATACTATCGACCTCATCTGCGCCAATTGGTTCATCTTTTACGACCATCAACCGCCAATATGACGATGACATATCCATAATATCCTTTGATGTTTCCCAAATTTGCGTTCTGATCTCTGAAATGGATCTGGATACAGGTGAATCCCGCTCCCGGAGACAATATGAAAGAGTAGTTTGGTATCGTCCGCTGCTGTCTGTCCATGCGGCTGTGACCCAACGTTGGTCAACGCTTTGTGAATAAGCCACATGGAGGCATTTTCCTTCTTCCAACAGTGCTACTGGTTCTGAAGATAATCTAAATGGCACCACTTTCGGAATTGGATCTGCAAGCACCAGAGGGGGAGCACACCCCATCCAGTCCGAAGATCTATCCTTTGGTGGGCAACGGGAGTAAACTTCAAGCGCTAAACGGAGATAGTCAATCTGTGGTGGCACAATTAGAGTGTCGGGGGATGCGATAAATTCCAAAGGAATTATTTGAAGTACAAGCTCATTGAGATGTCGAGTGTGTTGCCTATCAACGTCACCAACGTATTTGTGGAACAGGCGTATGAAGGCTGAGCAGATATCCACGATAGCTGCTTCGTATACGAAAGGGTTTATGATGTAAATCACCACGTTTTCATCACTTGCCGACAGATTCGACAACGCACTTCCTATACAATTATCAGATAACGTGAGGGTTTCCGAGGACATACTAGAGTTCCTACCTAAATTTTCGCATGAAATATTCAGTGCATGCATCAGCGAAGCGTAATCCTGGTCGCTTGCAGCATTGAGTGTCCATGGGATCAACCCGTTGGATTGGCTAGGTCGGGAATGAGTCCCAAAGTTTCCACTCGAATATACCAAGCCCAATCGCTCCATGAATGTATCCGCTGCTTCTGTGATATTAGGCGGGTAAATACAAAAGGGAAGGATATTCTTTTTCCCCTGGAGCGGTTCCAGTCCAAATGTCTCCCAAAATCCAATAGCAGCCGGTAGAACTTCCAAGAAACCGTTTCCACGATGGATTTTCACATGAGGTGGACATATTTTGCATATAGACCCGCTAGTATTTGATTTCATAGAAGGTGAATCTTTCCGCGTGTTAGGGCCATCCTCTATCGTTGCGAAGGTTCTCAAATCCAGCTTAGACAGGTGGCCTATGGCATCGCTGTTATCAAATAAACTATCGGACAGTACGCAATCGCAGTCTGTGCCTTCCAGCTTGTATAAATCATCACGAATATGGCACAAGCTAGACTGAGTAACTTGATCGACAACCAGCTGCGCTGCTTGGGGTAGATCTTCTCTTCGGGAGAACGCTGGAAACACGACATTTTCCTTCCTTGAAAAGTACCCTGTTAATGGCCAATCAACAGCCTCGGAAAGCAAAACCCCTAATAAGGCAAGTTGTTGATCATTTAGCTGCACTTTTGCAGTACCAGGAGCCAATGTACGTCGTTCTAACGGTGACAGCGAGGTAATTCCCTCACCCTCATAATCCCGCTTCCTCTTCAAGCTTACTGGATTATTCGGCCGCAAGCTTGCTTTCGATCCGTGGTCAGTGATGCTGCCGTTGTCGCTTGAGCAGGAAGAGGAGGCCGATGGGGACTGTACTTTTGTTTCTAGAGCATTATCAGAGACTAGAGGACTGGGAGATGTTAGGGTAGTAGAGAGCTTAGGATTTTTTTCCCGTTCTTTGTCTGGAAACCCAATCGTGGGAATATCGGATGGATAACCACCCATTTTAAAAGTTGTATGTCCTCCACCAGGACCAAACCAGAACCTCCCATCCAGTTTATACTTTTTGTCCGAAGACCCCAACTTCGGTTGAAATATAACTGGCCTATATTGATTTTGTTCTGGGTAGGACTTGTGAGTTTTTGAGTTTATCAATCCAAATTCAGAATGCGAAAATCCATTTGAGGATAAGATTTCCTTTATCTGAATTGGACTGAGAGGCGGGCTTATCAGTCGCCTGCTTGAGCCATCCGTTGGAGCAACCTGACCAAGCTCAGTTGCCTGCGATCTCTGGCCCTCGCCTGTTGTTGTATTCGGGGAGCTGATTGAAGGGTTTCGGGTACGAGAATCGCTATCATCAACAGCAGAGAGACGATTTTGAACGGAGTGTGAGGGCCCAGCTCCCGCTTTCGTCATATAGGTATGGGGTATATCGGAGGTACATTCGTTAGCCTGTAGTATTTCTGGCGTTTCGGTTTGCATTTCAAGGTTGCCGGTCAAACCAGCAAAATCGGGTTCGTCGAAAAAGCTAAAATCAGCTTCCGTGATGCCTTTCGTATCAAAATTAGTACCATCGATATCACCAAAAAATTCTTCGTCAGCTGCAGTGTCGTAAAGGCCTGACCCAACGCCAAGCTCAGAAGATGCCGCGTCTAACCCAGCAGGAAAGAAATCTGGATTTCGGTGAAGATATGTGGTGGACCCGCCATGTTCGTTATAAATTGATTCACCTTGGGAGGGTGGGTAATTCAGAGCTTCGATGGTAGATGCTCCAAGTCCTTCTACAACCACCCCCGCCTCTAAATTGTGAGTGAGCGCTCCACCTGGGGGTGTGGGATATACAGCACTCGCAAGCTGGGCGTCGGGTATGTTAACTGTTCTCGCTAAGCTTTCCGGGATGCCAGAGCTGTCGACGTCCAAAGGAGATAGTTCCGGATAATTAAAGTGTTTCTCGTCAACTTCACTTGGATTGTCGGTTTTTTGTTCATCCAGCAGCTGAACTTCTGGAAAGGATTCGTTTAACCATCTTTCCGCAAATTGCAACGGGCTCTCGGCTTGACTCGAGAAGAATTCAGTGGGATTAATAGGGGCCGTTTTGTTGGATCGCGATCTAGTAAAACATAGATTTGAAGGCCATAATATTTGGATAAAAGGAGATACTTTCCTTCGATTCCCAGTAAACCTGGAAAATGTGTCATATAGGGGACGATCTGAGACATTCACTTCAACTTCAACCCAGAGCACTGTTTGTGGATCTTTGAGGTTCAAGCCAAGTTTTCTGAGCCATTCTATCACAGTTCTTTTCCATTCTTGTTTCATGGCATCTAGTTTCCCAATTGAACGTTCAATGTCGTTAGGCAACGTTCCGATATTCTCTGGAGAAACAATATTTGAGTGGTTTGACTGATATCCGTCAATGGAGATGAGCCTGCACAATATTCCGGAAGGGGCTAACCACAAATCATTATTGAGATAGGCAGTTATATCAGATTCAGAATCAAGATGCAACTGCTCAATCCCAGGCTGAGGAAGAGTACTCAAAGAGACAATCAGTCTACCCTTGGCTGTCATGTTGATATCAAGGGTAGAAAGGAAGGATGTGAAGCTCCGAGTACAGGGGGCATGGGTGCAACTACTCGGATATCCGTTCTCGTCAAGGGAACTATAGAGAGTTCGAGTTCCAAGTGGAATCACCTTTTGTTGCTGCGTAAAATGGAGGCTGAGTGCCCTGGATGTGGCAGAAATAAATGCCTCGAAAAAAGCGGAATAGGTTGCATAGGCTTGGAACTTTAAAAATTCACCGGAAATATGCATTGATTTGTCCTGAAGTGCCTCGTTAAAAATACTGGACTCAGGATCAGAGAGCAGTCGATGTTTTATCTCTGCAGCAGTGTTCGAACCAGAAACAGAATCTAACTCGGATATTAGCGTATACAAGGAGAAAACAGAAAAAAAAAATGAGAAGCTATAGGAAAAGTATACTTTGGAATGTTACGCTTCCTGCTACAATAGTATCGTTCCCAGCCCCTTTGTTACTGTACAGAGGCCCCAACGCGTCAAAATTGGGGTTGGTAGAGAATATCCACAAGTCAGAGCCGTTAGCTAACGGAGAAACAAGACAGCGCATATTTCGCAACAGAATTATGGAATTCCTAAGCTCATTTGAACTTCTAAGAACCGGGTTTTCCCTGAGGTTGAGCTGTGATGTGGGTGGTCCAGCGGCCACCCTGGAGTAGATTCTCCAGAAAATGTTGCAGAAGCCATCCTGCCCACAGTGATTAGAAAGAAGCCAATGTATATATATATACAAAAGAGAAAGAGAAAGAGAAAGCGGTAGTGATACTAAAAATAATAACAATAATAATAAAAATAAAAATAAGAAAGAAAATAAAAGAATATAAGGGGGGGGAAGGGGAAAGAAAAAGCAAAAGAACAAGAACAAGAAACGACAGCAATCTATGTAGTAAAACTTACGATAGAACGGAAATTTGTAAGCGCTCCAGCTGGGAAATCCATAATAGATCGACGTTTACAGCGCGTCAGGTTGATGATAGTTAGGTATATAATGGTATCCGTGGAATGAGGCCACAGGGTCAAGATGCATATCGAAGAGGTGACAAGGCCATATGAACTAAACCTAGGGACGAAATGTTCTGCTTTGTAGGGGCAAACAACAATCTATACAAATTCCGCAAACGCCGTGGGATCTCGTAAGTGGTAGACGCCAAGCCACAGAACAGGCGATGGGAGATGCGGTCTTTAAAAAGAGCGGGGCGTAGATATTGATACCCCGGAGATGATAAAGCTATACGAAAGAGATCGCGACCTTGGACATGATCCATCTCTTCCATCAAGCTACGATCACCATCCCAGCTCCGAGTTTGATATTGAACAAAAAGAATTCTTGGATCTTGAGGACTTGGGCAGATCCATCAAATCGGGCTAATACAATCACGTGACAATTATGCAATTGGCAAGTTTGTTTCCCAACCAAACTTTGACTTTATTTTTTATTTTTTTTGGATGAGTTGAGGGAAGACTGCTCGAATTTGAGAAGACGTCGCAATTTTGTTGAAGTTGGAGAGGGCTCAACGGAACATCTTCACGGGAGACACAGAATTATTGGGGGCGTCGAAGCTATGAAGCTGTCAAATTCCGCCAATGTCCCTGTGTACACGATATCCGGTTCCTCCACCGCACGGCCACTTCCAGAATGGCTTGCTAGAAGGCGAAAACGGAGTCTCAAAAAGGACCCGGAGTACGCGAACAGAGTTGAGCTGCTACAGGACTTCGAGTTCGAGGAAGCGAGCCAATGTATCCGTGTCAGTGAGGATGGGCAATGGGTCATGAGTACCGGTAAGTTTAGCCCGATTTTATGATACTTGGGCAATACATCATGTAACTGACCAAAAAAAAATCAAAGGCACCTACAAACCTCAGATTCATACCCATTACCTGCCGCATCTGTCTCTTTCTTTCTCTCGCCACACCGTTTCATTGAATACAACATTCCTGCTACTATCGTCAGATTACTCGAAATCGTTGCATCTGCAGTCTGATCGATCACTTGAGTTTCATACCCCTTCAGGCTGCCATTACACCACACGATTGCCAAGATATGGTCGTGATTTGATATACGACAGACAGTCCACCGAGGCTCTTATTCCATCTGTCGGTGTGAATCGAGATGGCGTGGGTGAAGTATATAGATTGAATTTGGAACAAGGACGTTACATGAAAGCATATGAAGTTGAGGTTGGTGGAGATGATTTTACTTCGATGGGTGGTGGCGCGCTTCAAGGAGGAATCAACACCGGAAGCGTGAATACTGCTGCCATTGCTGAGGAGAGCCATAACCTCCTCGCATTTGGCACGTCTATTGGAACAGTGGAGTTATGGGACCCCAGGGCTAGAGCAAGGGCTGGCATCTTGCTTCCACCTTCCGATACTCAACTTGAAGATACCAAATCGCAAATCACCGCTCTAGAATTCCATCGATCTGGATTGACGCTTGCTATTGGATCTTCGCAAGGCCTTATACACCTGTTTGACCTCCGATCTCCTACTCCGCTCTTGAAAAAGGATCAAGGATACGGATACCCTATTCATACAATAAACTTCCTCACTCCAACGATCACAACACGTGACCAGACGACAGAGCCCAAAATTCTCTCCTCAGACAAGAGGATTATTAAGATCTGGGACGCGCGGGATGGAAAACCTTGGACGTCCGTGGAACCCGCAGTTGACATCAACAGCATAGCCTGGTGCAAAGATAGTGGCATGATTTTGACTGCTAACGAAGGGCGACAGCAACATGCATTTTTCATCCCCCAACTTGGACCTGCTCCGAAATGGTGTGCCTTCCTGGATAATATTGTGGAAGAAATGGCTGAGGATCCCAATGATCCCCAGGCTTTCGCTGGCCAAGCCGGGTCGGTCTACGACAATTTTAAATTTTTGACAGTTCCGCAATTGCGAAGCCTGAATCTGGATCACTTGATTGGCAGAACCACACTCTTGAGACCCTATATGCATGGATACTTTGTTGCGCAAAGACTCTATGAAGAAGCCCGATTAATTTCTAATCCATTTGTTTGGGAAGAGGAGAGAGCTATGAGAGTGAAGGAGAAGATTGACCAAGAACGGGAAAGCCGGATCCGGGGCAAGAAGGAGATTACGGTGAAGGTCAATAAGAAACTTGCGAAGAAAATTATTGAAAAAGAAGACAGGAATGAGCGACGACGTGCTCAGCGTGTTTTGGAGCGCGGGGGAGACAATGAAATGGCCGACGTTGGCAAGGCTGAAACTGCCCCAAGTCGCCTGGATACTCTACTCAATGATTCTCGATTCTCCAAGCTGTTCGAGGATGAAGACTTCGCTGTTGATGAAACATCAAAGGAGTTCCGGGACCTGAATCCAAGTACCGCGCCCGCCACTACGACAAGGCCAGAGCGAGGCTTAACTGCAGTCGAAAAGGAGGCTATCGACGAATTGCCCGGATCTAGTTCTGAAGAAGAGTCCTCGAGCGAAGATGAAAAACCTGTCAAAGCTAAGGCCTCTGGCCGAATATCTACAGTCTCCTACAAAAAGAATAAACGCCCCCCACCACGAATGCAGATATCATCGTCATCTAAGGCTACTCAGGTCCGTGATAGGTCGTTTGAATCAAGAGTTCATAAATCGCGGACGAGAGATCGTCCATCGAAAAGTGGCGCAGTCGGAGAGAAAACGGTTACATTTGTGCCACAATCCAAGTCTCGTTTGAAACCTGCATTTATGCCTGAAAACAACGGAACCTCAAAAGCGCCCAAGGATCGCAGAAGTGCATCAGGAAACACATTCCGGAAAATGTAACTGGAATAATAAAATGTGGGCATATTTTGTATGCTTGCCATGAGGATATTCTACAACATATATCACCAATAGATTCAAATTTTCACCTTGGGCGGCAAAATAGTCCTACGTTGATGAACGTAGCTGATGCTCTGGAACTTCCGAGCAGCTTCGCCCCATAATTCCTGTCGTAGTATGGAATACACTCCCATCTTCGCCTTAGGTGCCCATTTTCGCGCGACTTCGATCGCTACATTCAGCATGTCTTCAGGTTCTGCTATTTGGTCAACAATCCCATCTTTCAGTGCCTCTTTGCTGGTCCATTTATGTGCTTCAAGCAGCATTCTTCGAGCAATATCAGGGCGAAGTTTTAGACGCGACAGGTATCCAATCCCGGGAAAGTGAATGCCAATATTAACGGGCGGCATCGAAAAAAACCCGCGACGAGAGTTCATGATTCGATAATCGTGGGCAAGAGCAAGTACACATGCTCCACCGAATGTGTGGCCATTCAACAATGCAATTGTTGGATAGGGGTAGTCAAGAATTGTATGCATGAGCTAGAATTGAATACTCGGTTAGAGGGAGGGGGTTCCACTCTTTTTGCTTCATTAACGTAGCAGCTGGCGTATACTAACCGGGAAAAAGCCGTCTGTATTTGAGAAAGCATCCCGTTCTGCTTCATCAAGATCCAGCCCCTATTGCAAAATATATAGTCTGTTAGCATCTCAAGATATACGTTTCTTCAATCACTTCCTTCATTCCTTTAGACAGAAAAAACTGACCGTACTCCAAAACTTCTCTCCCTTCCCTCTGATTATCACCGCAGCACCTACCCCCGCCCCGTTCTCATCCTTCCCGGCAGCCTTAACCAACCGCTCAATATCCCGCAATGCGCGGATAAATTCCTGTGCAAAGGCGGTGCCAATGCGATTCTCAGGAGCCTTGCAAAGAGTAATCAGATATATCTGGGGGTCACCCGTTGCTGTCGCCTCTGTCGATGGTTGGTTCGGGATCCGGGACAGCGTGAGATTTTGATATGTCATCATGTATTTGTGGAAATCAATTATAGGAAATACTTGGTAAGAGAATTGCAAACTATTAAATAGATTGCGGGGGGAACCAATGGATATATCAATGTATTGAAGATATCATCATGTCTTCGAGGTTGGTTTATATACTACTGAAGTCGGGTTGGTGGAGAGCGCGCATTTATTCGAAGTTGCTTTGGGCCTCGGCGTAACTAGTTAGACCCTCCCCGTATTTTCGGCGACGAGGCATGTGCCGAAGGCATCGCTTTTTTCACCCCCCACCCGCGGATTTCAACCTCAGCAGCTTGAAAAAAATTAAATACCAGCCTATACAACAACATAGAAGATATGCTACTCCTGAGGTCAATATAAATCCTCATTTCCCCACAGCTCATCACTCATTAAGCGATTTACTAACATTACCGACTAGGATTAACAATTTGGTATTTGGCACTCATACTTAACAGAAACCACCCAAGGCAAAAATTACAAAGAACGGACGGCAAATCCTGTCATTGTCAGGATGATGGGAATGCGATGTAGGAAACCGCACGCCAAATCACCCCGGTATTTCAACTCTACTCTCTGATGCAGTATCCACAGGGGATTTCAAAAGCTTCGGTTTAGCTGCTTTCTCATCACACGGACCGCCTGGCTGCTCATCGAAAATTTCTAACTTATCGTGTCCGGGGAACGGGCTCGAAGGGACAGGCTTCCCAAGGAATTCGCACAGAGGGCCCCACCCTTCCTTGATATCATATATCAGCAATTTGTGTTTTGGTACGAGCTCACGGATCTTGTTGAACTGGGCCCTGAATGCCGACTTCCCATTATTTATGAAATCTCCTTTGAAGAAAGCGGACAATATTTTATATCGTAGCTCTCTTGCAGCCAATTTTGGTGGATCGTCGATACCAAGGTTCCCTTCGTGTTCTTGAGCCGCGTTTGACTGGCTGAGCCTAATCCAGGAACTTATCACAGGAATCAGTGATGCCTCGTGTCAGCTGAAGGAACCGCCAGAACGGCTACAAAAAACCACTGCGCGATCACCTACAGAAACCATTCGTCGATGTCACGTGTATTTAAAATAACTTTTGCGTCCGGGTATGCTTTAATTAACTGGGGTGCAAATGCGCAACACGGGCGTCCAACAACGGCCTATCAACAAAACAGTCATCACTCAGCTGGGTATCTGGCCGGGGGAACCAGGGCAATTTTTCTACTCACCTGGCAATCTGCAAATAAGCGATCACAATCCGCTTTTTCAAAACTTCCCTCCCCTTCAAACACGGCATTAAATGCATCCAACCATATTTGTGTGTCTTGTGGTCGAGCATGGACTGAGGATGGGAAATGGTATGTCCCCTGATATCCCAATTGTCCCAGAGCTGTTTGTATGGCTTCATAGAAAATGGGCCCGTCAGCCAATAAAAATCACAGATAACGACGACTGTCTACCTACAGTTTGATCCTGTTCTTGGGGGCCCAAGGGCAAGCACTTTCACGGGCGCGACTCGGATACTGCTAGAACTTCCTGTGGATGGAATATGGCCCTCCATCACGCTCTTTGTTATCATGACGAAATGGTTGACCGATGGATATCCAGAAAGCCTCTGTGATTCCTATTATCGATCTATTTCTAAGCAAGTTTCTGAGTCTATGATTTCAAGACAAGATTTTGTCACCTTATTATAGGGGAACAGCTAGCCCAGTTATATATTCTCTAATATATATATATATATATATATTTTTTTTCAGATTTGGGAGGGTGGGCTTATGCTTCTATCATATATCGCTTGCTTGTTCTAAACACACTGTTAGTGGGCCCATGATAGTTTGCCTACCTGCTGCAATAATGTCACCAACTAACTGGGGTTCCATTTTGATGTGAAAAAATATACTTGTCCGGCGGTAAGTCGGTTCGGAGATAGGACAAACCTTGCTTCATTGGATCAACTTCATCCCATGAGCCACACCAAGTTCCGTGTTGAAATCCGTGTTCTACATCAGGGAAAGCCAATTGCCAACCTGATCCTAGGGTCACTGGAGGGGTTAACAGCACAGTATGTGCTTATACATCTGCTTACTCATGTTGTCTTCCTTGCTTGATTATACCCCAATTTTTCTTGATTGAATTATCTCTACCTTTTGCAGAATTTTTTGATGAATGCTTGAAAATGCACAGAATATCCAACCATATCAACCAGGTTTCTGGAGTATTTGCCAATGCCGTTTGACAAATAAGAGCCACGTTGCACATCACAAGGTGCAGACGACTGAGTGCATGAGTGTTCTTCATTTGCTTAATTTTCAACTTGGGTCTCTCTACCAAAACGCTTCATAGCCAGGACTTCCATATGCAGATCCCGTCTCCACCTTGTCTTAACTTAAACTGGTCACGTAAACTCATGTCATGGAACTTGTGCTCCTCAATTGAAGGGAAGGAGAGCAAAGGAAATTGACGAAGCTCCACAACACGACAATCTTCTTAAACACGGAGACCTCGGCAGAGCCCTGCAAGGGTTTTGGTCCATTGTGTCGCGCGAAGAACAATCATCCCGGGATCGGTGCAATTGGAAGACAAATTCGTCAAGAAGTGGGGACTCGCGGCAATCGGCTTGCTATGGCCGTCTCTCTTTGTCAGAAAGGTTTCCTTTTTTTTAGGTCTCCATCCTATATGAACCTAGTCTTCCAGGTTCAGAATACCACCTGAGAATATCTCTTGTAACTCTGAGGCATGCTTAGCGTCTTCGCTTCAGTGGCTCGATGTTGAATGGCGGAAAAACCCCCTTAAAAGAGGTCACCCAGATGAGGTCCTGGCCACCCCCAGCTCGCACTGGAAGCAAGGATGTGTTCGATTTTCGACGGCTGCTGGATAAAAAAAAATATCCAAATGTTATTGCGGTCTATACCATATTTATTGTTGCTTACCATCCGCCGAATAACGACTATTTGGTATCACAATTCCCGATTTTTCAAAGGTGATCCCCGTTATCCAAGTTCGGTGCTGGTTTTGACCTGCAAATCCCAACTAGTTAAGCATGTAAGCTTCCGAATTGCTACATTAACTACTTTCTAAGGACTCCCAGCGGACTGCTCACTTTCGTCCTCATTTTATATCTTGTTTTGTTACTCATCCATCCTCTGACGGTATTCTTTCACTTATAACAATGAGAAAAATACAAGATGACCCTAAGAGTAAGAGAGCGAGCAGGAGAGCATGGTAAGCATGAATACGTACTCTGTTCATGGCAGAGTGCCGGACATCGTCAAAGCTTGTCTCTCAAGTTATTATCATTCGCACAATTAGGCGAAATATGTTGGGTATAGAAATTTTACCCCGAGATCAAAGCGCATAGCGTTGACCACTAAGACCATCACCGCCCGCCATGTCTTATTCTCATATCAAGTCACAATGATTATTACATTCTGACACTTTGGGAGTTGTTCATCCCGTCGGAGAACTAACTCACACGTCGAAAATCTATTCTGGTAGAACCATCCTCATTATTAGCAACGACCCTCCCCTCACTCGCTCACATGCTGCGCTATTTAATCAATTTTACACTGATCTTCGACCATCCTGCCTATTTTCAAGAGTTCATTAGCACTCGGGATTATATCCCTGTGTTCTTAAAATAAAAGTATCACTTTAGATTTCGTCTTCAGCCTTGGTACCATCGGAATTCTAAACGACATCGCATCAGAGCCTACCAAAATGTTTGATTTTCTAAGCTGAGTAGTTTCCCACCCATCGCATCCAAACAGCATAGCCAGATTTTCCCCCAAAGGTAAATAGCTAACTGCATAAGAGTCAATATATTTAAGATACCCAGTACATGACTCGGGGTATTGCCAGCTCTCTTGGAGGTTAACCGACCTCCTTATCTGTATGGAGGATACTAATAGCCAAGGGATGCTATAGTTAACTGTCCATCGGTGAGCAGAAATCGAGTATAGAGAGGAAGTGAAACCAATGCGCATCGATCAAGACATCATGTAAATAATTCCAGACCAGAAATCTGTTACAGCATGCAAGATCTCGAAGCTGATGATGCCATCCGTATACTGAAACGGTCCCAACCCATATCACAGAAGGAGGCTTCTGCGCAGGTAACTTAACTACCGAAGACACACAGCGACAGAAAATTTAGAAACACGGATAAATAAGCGCATTGAAACAATCATCCGTTCCACACCCGCATTCATAGCTGCGATGTTGACAGCTGTATATCCGCACCAAGACTGACGTGTTACCTGGAAAGAACCGAAAATGATGAATTTATTTATGCAATCGCAGCATGTGCTTTGGAAGACCAGCAGTGCTAAATATGCTCTCCAAGTTGGCGAATACCCAACAGCTTCGGCGGCGCGCAGCATACACTATGAGTGAGTGCTGCTGTCCACTCAAGTATACCGTCGTGTGTGCAATTTCCATGTCAAACCATTTGCTCTGATGTTGTGATCTCACATCTAAATCTGCTGCAGCTAGATAACAGCTGAGCTCTTCCTCCGCCCGCTTATAAGCCTTCCTAAATAACTGCAGTCCCCGTGAGCGACTCTTTCGGGCCATTTGCAGATGCCTACGCAAGAGCACCAGTATGCCCTGAGTGAAAATGACAGGAGTAAAGCCATTATTTGGTACCTATTCATCCATCAGTTAACAGGGATTACCATAGATAAGTCAGCCAAGGTTATAGCACCAGTAAGTTCTCGAATTCCTTTCCTACCGCCTGCATTACGTGCAGCTTCTGATGCAGGTCCAGTGCACCTTTCAAACAGTCATTTTCCTCCTGATATTACGCCTTTTAGTACTTTCAAATTTTTGTGGCTGTTGTTTGGAGGATCTTGGTTTTAAACAATGCACGGCCATCATCGGAATCTGTGGTCGAGTGTTTTGTCAAAGATTTCGGATATATGATGAAACATAGACCCAATTCAACCATTGTGAGCCTTCCCTCTAGTACTACATCTCTTCATGTTTCTTTTTTTTAGATTCATGCTGAGAGATATGAGGGATACCGCAGGCATCCTGCTTGCAGCGCCATGCTGGGCTTGTCCAACTTAACGATCAGAGACCTTAACACACAGGCATCTGTTCGGTGAGCATGATTCCCAATATTAATTATGTACTTCTGTAAGCTGTGACCATGGTGCCCAAAGACTTTTTCGAGTCTCTCTTGCGTGCCTTGCACGTTCCCGCAGGGTGCATAAAATTTTGGGTCGTTCATTTTAACTGCAACCTCCCGTGTCCAACGTTATCAGACAAAATTTCGACCGCCTTTTTGAATCAAGGTTCGATCCAGCTGGGCGGAGCCGAGATTGACAACTGGAAAATATCAGCCTGCTTAAAAAATCAAGTTTTTGCAGACGACTAATCGAGCAAATGAATCATTCTTCCTCTGAACACGGTGTGTGTTTTGTCAAGCCTATTCCAATAACCCCTAGACACATCGTCAATTCCCTGTGGCTTCCCGCTGGACAACGCTACCATTGCTGCCGTGAATCCAAAAAGCAGACCAGCAAAGCTTCGGTCTCGTTGGCATCTACAACAATCCAGATTGTGTGGCTTACTGTCACAGGAGAGCGCAGAACCCCCTTTTTTTTTTTTTTTTTTTTTTTTTTCAACAATTTTCTCTTTATGTCTATTCAGATTTGCATCGCAGTCTCGAGACATTTATCGAATCACTCTAATGCCCTCGTGAGTGATGAAACAATCTTAATAATACCAGCAGCGTATTCCTATGAATCACGGAATTTGAAAGGATTTGGCTGCTGACGTCAGTCAGAAGCTTGGAAAGCTGCATATACTGTTCCGCACGACCTCTACCGTCTCCAGTTGTGGGAAGATCTTTTGTTATATATCTTTCTCTTTCCTCCATTTTGGCTATGGTGGTGTAGCGTTACTCACTCCGCGTCACTCACCCCCGACATAGACAACATAGACAACGAGCGAATAACTTCCAAGTACGGAGCGGGTACTTCTGTTCAACCGTCAGTATACACGAATGAGAGGATCTTTCAAGACAGATTCAGGGACATCAGCTAGTTCAAGATATCAAGAGCGATGACTACCGGCATATAGCTTCGCAAACGCCCTCCTAGTCAGGTCGTTAGGTAATGCCAATCATCCAAACAAGTGCCGACGGGAGCTCGACAAGCCGTTCGGCAACAGCATTCCCAGCAATTCTCCTTGCTCGAGATTGAGCTGCTCGTATTGCAAAAACCCATTTTGTGCGAGCGTTTTCTGCCAACAGCATATGCAGTTATCATCGAATGAAACTAAACATCTGCTATACAAATACCCAGGTGGAAGTAGGATTTCAATCCGTACGCTGGCCAGTGCTTCCTCTCCCAGCTACAATGTGAACAGCGATTGATATTTATGGCAGGGTTAGCATGCAGGCTTGTGTAGCCATGCCGCGATCGATTGGAAATATTAAGGAGCCATTCTGCCAGCGCATCGCCTGACGTTCGCCCGTTTTGATATTCCTGGACAAGCTGTATAACCTTGCACAGTTGTTTTCATGTAACAATTCGACGGTTCCAAGTTGCACAATCTGAACAATTTGTTCATTAAAACCCTCCGCAGTTCATTTTTCTTGATGTTGTTACTGTTGATGTTTCTTGTTCGTTACATATGCAATTCCAGAATGGCCCGTTCCCATTTGATCGATATACTAAACTAGCTTCCGATGTTAGTCTGCGGATCCCACCACGGCCCACGGTTCACTTCCGCCTTCCAAATAACCTTAATATATCGTCTTTCCTACATTATTATGGAGAAGGATCTCTATTGCATCTTCGATGTGCGTGGTCCGCTTTGGTTTCCGCACCCCTTATTCATGTCCCCAAATCTAGAGCTGGAGGAGAAGGGTAAAAATGAGAGTAGCAGCCACACCCTGTGGCTTAGCTCAGACATTCAAGGCGGGGTCGGGTGATTCATTCGTCCTTTCCTGAAGCCCGATCAAAATACCCTGACGCGCTTCGCTACAGTGGATATTTGCCGCCAATGCTCTTCCCGAAAGGGTTGATATAGGCTGGTACAAGCGATCATTTTACTTTCCACAATCCTCAAATTGCTGATTTTCTCAGGGTGAGATTCGATTTCGGCTCCGAAAGCGGGAAACAACTCAAATCATAATCACTGGTTCAGTTTGATATGACAGACACAGGAACAGAAGATATATTGGTATGGCTGCTTTTGAGTCTTTCTGATTCTATAACTAGTGTTTCTCAGAAAAATGTGGGGTCAGCGAGGGTCAGGCGAGGGCCAGGCGAGGGCCAGGCGAGGACCTGGTGCGTCCTGTTTACTTTATCAGCAAACACATACCTCCCCACCCTCAAAACAGTCCCAATAATTCCGCACCCTTTTCCCCCAACATCATCAACAGCAGCGTGCTAAGCCTCTTCCGCCCACCACAACACCAACGGACCCTCCGTTCCATAAACGGGATCTGCTTCTGGCATTTCCACCGCAGAAGTCTCTTTGCGTACCGCAACTAGATCGATAGGTTCTTTGCCGAATTCATTGCGCCAGTGGGGAGCTTTCTGTAGAGAGCAGCTTAGCTGGACTGGAAATAGTCTTTATATGTAGTGTGCTGTACATGCTATATAACGCACACGGATGTACCCAAAAACAATATCAACGCACCTTTGGATAAACTCCCACGTAGCGGTAATCTATGCTGTCGACGCAGCTATGCGTTATTCCTGCCGGAAGGACTATGACGTCACCGGCTGTGACGGGGATAAGGATGCCTGCGCTGTGGCTGTCGTGTTTTCCTTTGCCAATTCGCAGCGTGGACGAGCCTTGGAATATTCCTATTTTGATATGATTAATTTCCGTTAGCTACCATTCGTTTGTTGGAGTTGGTTGTGTTGTGTTGTTCTTCAAGGCCACTCTGTTCACTTCTCATGCGTAAATTGCAGTGCAGAACCATGCGGAGTAGTTACCTGGGATCAACACACAACAGATCAGATTTCAGCACCTACCGTAGCACTCATGTGTATTCGGATGGAAATGGGGTGTTGGGATGTGGCCAAATGTTCCCTATAGAAGGAAAATTCAGTGCATTAATATTACCAAATCAGTTGCATATTGATATTTATAGATATCCTTTCATCCCAGGGACTGGTTGAATGAGATAGAAGAGATACTTATCTCTCTAGTTGAGCAACCATGAATGGATAAGAAACATACCCTCCTCTCCCAGTTATTCCCCTCCAAGAACTCCGTCGTTGCACTCTCTGAATGCGGCTGAGGAAGCACGTTCCGATATACAAGCACTGGCAGCGGGCTGTTGGGTGAGAAGGTGGTTGGTTGCAAGTAGAATCTTTCTACAGGTTGTGTGGTTGTGGAAGACATGATGATGAGATTACTGGTAGACGTTATACGGCATATGATAGATTGATATATTGGATATATATATACGCATGAACCTCCCCATTGACTGTTAACATAAACTGTTAATTGCTTGGTGGTAAAATTCCACAGCCAGGTGGATTAGTCAAATAGTTCAAGAGGCATTCCCGATCTCCAGAGTTGGGTTCCAGCCACTCGAAACCTTTTTTTAATGGTCCCCGCAGAACATCTGCTAGACAAATTTGTTGGCTTCCTTTTTGTAGGGGATATAACCCACAACCATTCCATTCATGGATTAAATCAAAACCACTTCTTTATCGCCTTGTCGTTTGGAGCTTTGGTAGTACACAATTCGGTGGTTGGATAAAATGCCGCCCCTAGAACCGTGTAAAATCCACCTCATTCACCCAAATGCGCTATTATTCCACTAATACTAGTTACCTTGGCATTCTACTGTAAAGTCTTTAATAGTCATATTAATCTTTTGAAAAGCCTTCTGACTTTTAGATCAACATTTTATCGGATTTCAAGTGCTTTAGTATCATATAATAAAGAATATCAAAAATAAATAATATTCTATCAGAAAATAAATAGAACTTTGATAAAAACATTTTTTTTAATAAAAATTATTACAATAATATAAATAATTACTAGATTTAAAAAAGTTAGAAAAATATTTATTATATAATTTAAAATAGAAAATAAGTAATTGTGATTAAAATAATCAATGCAGTAAAATAAATTTTATTTTTAATTAATTATTTTTAAGATTAAAGTAAATTAAATCTTATAATATAAAATCTATCAATAAATTAAGTAATAAGTTAATAAGAATGACTGATTTATTAATCAACTATATTTAATTAGTTAATATGATTGAAAAAATAGTTGATAGATATTTACTTTTTATTTTAGATGATAAAGGTTATATTACAGATGAATTTAATTAATTCTATATGAAAAATACTATTATATCTTATTATTTATCACTGTATTTATCTTATCATCTGCATTCATTAGATATAAAATATATTGCTTCTTTTGAAAAATATATATATAATAAATATATTAAAATAAATGTGAAACTTTATATCAAAATCACAGACTTATTGTCATACAATTCAGAGAAGATTTCTATATGTATATGTTCTCAGCTATATACACTGAGTTCTTCTGACATATTTTATGAATTTCAATCTTTCTGAACCTCACAGACCCTCTGCAATATAGCTCAATTAGAGTATCAGTTCAATAAGATCAAGCAGTATATCAAGCATCATATACAGGGAGCTCTTCTCGTCCAATCAATTAAGCCTTAAATTAACTGATTTAAGGGTTTCAGCTAGCTATGCATAATGCCACTATTTTGACACAGGAAAAAATAAAACCCTATTAGCTGCAAATGAGAAGCAGAAATGCAAGTGAGAACGGAGATATATCTCTATAGCTTAGCAGGATATTGTGGTGGCGTGGTCTACTACTACGGCGTTGTCTGCTGCTGGGCTACGGAAACTGGCATTGTCCGAAAGAGTAACAGAAACTGCCTAGCAACCGCCTAGCAACCGCCCTACGGAGATGAGTATGTAAGGAATATCCTTCCCCAGGCCCCCCCCCCCTTTTTTTTTTTTTTTTTTTTTTCGTAAATTCACCTTAGTATTCGTCGAAATAGCTTTACCTAGTTGGCAATCAAACAACATAGAGCCCCTGCATGCCCATAGGATTGAGGAATTAGCAGTTTACT